GGAGATAGAGTTCCGGAGCTGAGAGTTTTTATTGGAAATTTCCTCCTCTTTCAGAATCTTTATTTGAAATTTCTTAAATATTAATAGTTTATTAAATATTGGTAAAAAACTAAATTCCATTTTTTTTTCATCTTTAATGGTCTATAACTTTGTGATTTTTTATGTGCTAATACACGCTTTTAGCACATTTTTCTAGGCGTCATTCCGGTTCGAATGAGCTATCGCACATAATTTTAAGAGCAGTATCTCTATTTTGTTCCATTTTCAACTTGTCGACTAGACTATAAGGCTACACTAGGCAAAGTATGTTTATAGGCAATTAATGCTGATTTATTCGATTACTAAGTGAATTTATTCTTAATTTTTTTATTCGCTTTGTTAACGGTCTGGATATGAAGTTATTTCATACTGTTATAAGGTCAAAAATGAGTGTTAAAATGGGTTTTCCCATTCATTAGCATCTGTCCTGTTTCGAATATTTTACGTCAACTCATCAACATGAAAATATGTTATATACACACACATATATTAATGAATTGCTGTTAATTGTCTCGCTAAAACTTGAGAGTGGCTGGACAGATTTGGCTATATATTTTGAAATATTTGTGGAAGTTTTAAAAAGAAGGTTGCAACGGTGAGAAATATGTATAACTTATAATAAAAAAAACAAATATGTATATTAATATAATGTTTAACTGTGAAATATATTAAGAAAGAAGATTGATTTGTTATTGTCGTGTTACAGTCCTAAACAGATTTTGATGTTATTTTTTGTGGGTGGACTTCAAGAATCGTATACATTTACAATTGGATGTTTTTATTTTATTTAAAACTTAAATACAGGACCTGTGTCTGTCTGTCCTCCCTAAGTAAATAAATCCCGCCAGTTTAAAATAACTCTGATATAACTTTGAATACCGTATTATTAAGTCATTACTTACGCAATAAGATTTTAATAATATGTTTTAAAATCTATTTTATTATTTCGACTGATGTTTTTTTATATATAAAATAGAATCAGAGTTAAAAGATAAGAACCTGGTACGTCTTCATATTATATTATTAACAATCGCATCAAAATATCGCAGTAAAGAAACCAATCGAAATTTATATTCAACAAAGATTACCATAAAATTAAAATCACATACTAAACAAAAAGGAATCGGACGTGACGTCACTCGGAGGAAACCGTGTCTCAGCGTGGAAGTCATCATTCCCATAGTGGAGTTACAGAAATACCATTACCATACACAAGAGACCGTATTCCTAACAAGAAGCTTAAAAACAGAGCTCTTTCCAACTGGTTATTCTATAAACAGCTGTGGAGTGCGTTGTCCTGACGATTCGTTTTTTTAATCATTGTGTTTAAACAATCCCAGGCTGTAATTATTTATTAAACATTGTTTTTTTCTTGTGGTAATGAATTTAAATTATCAATCGGAAAGCTGCTACTTGCTGTAACATTAGTTTTACTTAAACTTAATCGCTCTAGTTACGTTGTTTTAACTGAAGTACTTATTCGTCACTCGCTGTTAGTTTTTTTTAAAGAACAGTGGGCAAACGGGCAGTAGGCTCTCCTGATGTTAAGTTATACCGCCGCCCATGGACATGCTCAATGCCAGAGGGCTCGCGAGTACATGCGTTGCTGGCCTTTTAAGAACTGGTACGCTGTTTCCTTGTTTACACTGTGGTAAAAAGAGACGAAGAGCTTTAATTAAGAGTCTATATTAGAGGCTCTGTCTATAGAATACATATAATACTATAATTACGCTTATAAGTTGGTTTTATATAAGTTTACACGACAGTACTTTGAAGACATTAAATTCTCTAAGACGAAGTGGCGTGTTATATTTCTAATAGAAGGCGCATGGAGGTTGCTATTAGTATAAAACAGAATGAGTCAGTCAAAGGAAATCGATTGTGATTCACTTGCACGCCAATCGTTTGCAATTTTACTTTGCATCCGCTAACTAATCATTACAATACATGAAGTGTAGTAGACAAAAGTAACAATAGGTAATATTTTTATAACAATTTAACAAGCAAATTTTATAATTATTCTACATTTACACAAGCATTTAAAGATATAATAATTCCAATTTTGAAAATGCGAATAATAATTTATTTGCAAGAATATGGTAAAAAAATGTTGTGGTGGTACAATTTAAGGTTCGCATATTCTGCCACACATAATTGCGTGCCAATTTTTCTTAAAAGGTAAAATTTTACATAGAAGTGTGAGTCATAGTATTATAGTCAATTCATATATTATTTTATCACTACTTTGTATTATAAGTGCGACTATCATTGGAGGTACGGCCCGAAATTAAGAGTCCAGGGCATTCTTAACTATTTAAAAGCATTGTAGATATTGTGTATGTTGCATCCTATATGTTATTCTATATTCAACATAGTCTAGATTGTAGGTAGTGATTTTTGTTATATATATATAGGTAAATTGATAAAAATATAATAGCAATTTCATGCTCGAGAAAGCACCCCAATGACAAATCCGTAAAATAACCAAAAACATTACAGTAGCGTCATCGATATATTAATTATCATCCCATTTAACGACGAAAATATTAAATTAAACCTATTATTAATTTAATGATATCCAAAAGAGTTGCGGAAAACCGTCAACAGTCGACTTCCTTAGACTAAAGCCAATTGTATGCCTTTTCTGTACATTGAGTGACAACTTCCCGACTAGCAAATGCAAACCATTTCCTTAAAAATATTACATTATTATTCGTGTCTAAGGCTATAAAGGCTCTGTTACAATATATTTTTAACTGACTCAAAAAATTCGTATTATTACGTGTATTTAGTAATTTCTTTATAATAGTGAATAAATTGTTATATATTGACTACCTACAATAACAAAAACAAATTTTCTGAAGAAGAATAAATTATTTTAAAAATTTCATGACATTTTTATACTTTTCTAAATATTTTGATTATTGTATTATTTTAAATGTCATTCTACATAATAATGAGGGCGCAATTAATTTAGCCTCATTTGCGGTCAGTGGTTCGCAACGACGGAAGCTTTTACGGATATCCGGCGATACGCCGCTTTTACTACAGTCGACTGTACCTTCAATGTGTATAAAGTTTAATAATTAGTTAGTCCGCTTAACATACATTATTTATTTGCCTTTAACGAAATCCTAATCAGCGTTCCTAAGAATAATGTGAGCTGATAATAGATTCATCTAGGTTACATTTTTTTCTACTATACTGTATATTATAAAGTATTTTTCTCCCAAATATGGCATGGGCCAGACACTATGCCTGTCTAATTGAGTGTTATTGTCGCTTTCTGTGTATGATCCTTGGTTTTTGTTTACCATACCAGCGAATGCCAATTTAATTGAGTGAAATAAAAATATATATATATATACAATACATAATACAAAATTTGTTTAAATTTTGCTACTTCAGCTAATTTTATTGAATTATTACTCTTATTAAATAAGAACTTAATAGTTTACGGTCAAAGAAATTAAAGCAAATGCATAACACAAGGTTGACTTAATTGTTAAGCATACTCCAAAAGTCCAAACCCTGAGATTGTGTATTGGATCCCTAGCTGTGTAACAATGTATGTTTCTTTTGATAAAAGTAATTTAGACACTCTTACTGTAAGGAAACCACACACAATGTGTATCAGTCAGAACATGCTGGTTACCATGCAAGTGGCATTTAAAGATAAATAATCACTGAAACAAATATAGAAATCAGAGGCAAAACTCAAAAGACAGTTCTGCCACTGGTTTAATTTATATAAATGCAAGAATATGGTTGAAATTTTTATATTATCTTATGTTGTCATCAAACAATTATATTATGTTTATTCTGATATATCTAACATTTCAATACAATTACCACTAAAATAACTTTTTAATAGCTTCAACTCAAGTACTAAGAAGAAAGAAAAATTTAACTGCAGCATAATTGCAGGTGTTTTAGTAAGACTAATTAAATAACTTAAAGTAAATTATTTAAACAAGAATGGTCAGCATTAAGCTTTTAGACTCGTTCTAAATACTTTTAAATAAATTAGGTACTTACTTAGTTCCAGAGACTCGACGCAGTCCTTTGTCAAAGCTAATAAAATTAAACTCACAAGAAGGCAACGCACAAAAACACTGTAACACCTATACATATTGCCACAAATCGCTTGTTTTTTTATATCACACTATCATAATATTACACTCAACTTTAGCTATGCATAAAACATTTTGTATATAAAAGAAAATAAAGTCGAATTATTTTATTAAAATAAATAAAGGCACTATTCGGTACACATCCTAACATCAAGTTAAACGAGACTACACTGAAGTCTGAAGTCTGAACTGTGAACACTCACAGATTATGAACAACATATAGGAAACTTGAAAGGAAGGCACTTCACTCTGCAAAGTACAGTTGACAGTAAACGCACGACATTCGACACTATAGATAGATACAATATTGATTTGTCAGCCGTCAATGTTAGTATGAATATGAGAAAAAATATTGTAAACTTTTATTTAAAAAAATGATAAACTATAACCAACTGAAACCCAAATGAAAAAAAATATCCAAATTTAAAAACCATCGAGCTGAATCGAACAAGGAAAAGAAAATATCATCGAGTTTCAGTGCGCTGCACTAATTAAATATTAACGTGGCAACATTTGATAGTTCCACTGCGTAGAAAGATTAAAATGTAACGGTATAATTAATATGAATAAATGCACCACATATTCGACTTCGTTTTATCTGATTTTTACTATTTATTATTGAAGGTACCCACAACCTACAATTCAATTGTAGTAACATATCTTCAGTCGGTAGCCTGATTTAGGGGCAAAGGTTTCTTTTATGTCATCTATTGTTCCCATAATTCAAATTAACGTTTGAATTGTAATATAGTACGTTATATTCATTAAAAGTGTAAAAGCGGCATAATTTTTAATTATGTACTTTATTGTTTGATTAATTTTTCAGAAATGACGATGTCAACGTTGCATAGAAACGCAATTATAACAGGTAGTTTTGATTCGTACTGCCTCCTTTGTGAAGTTCATTTAAAGGAGAACGTGGAAGATCATATCAACGTGCCTGAGCATAAAGAAAAGTTGCAGCATTCCAGCTATGTGCAGAAGTATAAATTTCATCATATACGGAAAGTAAGTAATATATGTATTATAATTATATATTATACTTAATTTTTAATAAAATGAATTTGTTGTAAATATCTGAAAACTTCACGTGTAATAAAAGATACTTACCTAAGTTGTTTTACCAATTGCAAAAAAAGTCTTATTTATTGAATTTGTAGGTAGGTATATTTTAACTATATAAATTACTGTTGTTATTTGTATATAAATTATTTATGGTTTACTTGTCTAGTGGACCATGATATCTTCTAAGGTATACATTTAAAAAAATCCTTGCCAATAATGCATGATATTTTAGATTTGAACAAAATTTTATGAGTAGGTAGAGAAGGTTGGCTACCTTAAAAGATAAGACATAGGTACGCGATCGCATAATTTTTTAGAACTGTTTTGAACAACCATTCCGTCATGCATGATTTTTACGCTTCATGAATTATATTTTGTAACATTTCTCTTAGATGCTCCGATGCTATTACTAGTACCATGATGTTATTTTAGTTTTATAATATTACCTGTGTCGGGATTATGTAGATTGTAGATATCATGTTAAGGTAGCCCTTTCACGTCTGTGTGTCATATAAAGCAATCGAACCCAGATGGTATACGAACCGTGAGTTCATCCGACTCATTTCAGAGGGTTAAAAAATAAAAAAAATATATAATTTTTTTAAATTGTCATTAATTGATAAAATAATTTCAGGTATTGAAAGGATACTATTGCGAATTCTGTAATATTCTGCTACCGACATTAGTTAACATAGGTCTTCATGTTACATCGAATGACCACGAACGTAAAGTAGGAAATGGACTTTTGAAAGAAGTAGATGGAGGCGTCACTGCTTTTGACCGGATGTTTATAGACAATCAGGCATGGAATGGTCTTATCGAAGACACAATTTGTTGCCTCTGCAATAAAGAATTTAATGATAAATCTGTGCATTTAAAGCAACCTTCGCATATCCTTCACCTGATTAAAAAAGGTGTACACATGAAGGAACGCGGAATTGTTTACCGAAATGTAAGTTAAGTAAATTTTGACTGTAGGTACGTATTTATCAGTGCCATAATTTCAAAATATCCTTTTTTTCTCAAACATATTGTAGGTAATAGTATTTTGCATACTTGAACATTCAGAATTCAGTCTTATAATAGAAATAAACTTAATGGCTCTGTATACAGAAAAAAACAAAATAAAGTTTAGCGTAAACCGCATTAGCGCAATCATTCTAAAAATACTATTTTTGTTTAGGTTGATACCACTACCTTACATTGTATGGTTTGCAATATAATCTTGGAAATTAAGGACGGTGATTTACATTTTGATAGTAGCCTACATTTGGAACAATTTCGTAAAAGCTGCGAACTAAAAAAGAAATTAGACGAAAATTCGATAAAGGCAAGAATTGACAAAGTAATAAAACAGGAGGCAAAGCCGCCTGTGATTGCACATTCTACATGTGTTAAAAATAAAGAAACGGATGTCAAAAAGTTCATTGATGATAATAATAATAATAGCAAAAATAATGACGTAATAAAAACTCAAGAGGACAAAAAAACGAATGCAGCCAAAACTAAACCAGAAGAAAGCAAAATAGAAGACGCACTACGTCACCCATTCCAAGCTAAAGAAGAAGCACAGATACTTGCTAAAAAAAACAAAATCAAATTTAAGTTCGCCAAGCAAAGCGCTTACTGCAGCGTGTGCGATGTCACTATATCATCATCTCTAAAAAGAATTAAAGAACACATAGAAGAAAATAATCATAAAAAAAATCTAAAGGAAAAAAAAAGAAATCAGGTACCAGGGAATTGTAAGAAAGCTAACAAAAACATTATTAAAATTCCTAATGCGTATTTCGTAAATCACTTGTTTGAGTATGAATTGAACCTAATACCCGGACCACTTGGTGATTGGGTTGTTCTAAATGGCGAACTTTGTATGGAGTCTATAAGCTACTCAATGATTACAGTAAATTGCTCATTAATACGATGTCAAGCATGTAAGGAAACAGTTTTAAATCTACAAAACCACATCAAAAGTTCCAGACATGAGAAAGCGATAATGTTTATGCCCGTGGTTATTTCACTGAAAGGTGAATATGTTAGAGAGGTAAGTACCTACTGTATATTAAAATATTTTGAAAATTTCGTCTTTCAAATGCCAATGCCATAATACTACAAATTATTTCACGTAACGGGCGCAGAGAATCAGGAGACCTTATACCTATACCGCGACATGTTTAACTTCACTCGGTCTATATTTTATGCTATACATAATAAATTTTATAAGTATGATAACGCATTAAAAAAAATATTTGACATCGTATTATATTAATTACGAGCAGACCGGCCAAGCGTTTCTGTGGCTAAGGTTTTTGTTATATTACATAGTAGCAAACTATTAAAGGGAAACGGTAGGAGAACACCAGTCATGGGGACCACCATGCTTTTTTGGTGGTTATGCCATTAAATCGTAGCTTATGTGAAACGTTGGTACTTTCAACACAGCGCCATCTGTTACAATTGTGACTATTAAATAATAAACAATTGTTTATTACGTTGGATCAAACTACACACGGTGTGCAAATTTGATTGATATCGGTTCGGTAGCTTAGGAGTCCATAGCGGACAAACAATGTGACACGTAATTTATATATATGTATTAAGATTTGATACGTATTTATTGACAAGGGTCGGTCACGTGCATCAATATGAGCCTTATAAGCCTTAGCTGAATTCAGCGTGATATCGGGGTTTGAACGACCTTACTCACCTAAATATGAATTTCAAAGCTAACACTAAGCTAAACTTATGCAAGTTTTATTTAAATTTTTAGATTCAACCTGAACTCTACCACTGTGGTTTCTGCAATCTAGTAGCTGGAGATTGGGAAAATTTAACGATGCATTTGGAATCGGACAGCCATCGTACAAAGAAATTTCAATGTCGTTTGAAGCATGAGTGTTTGAAACAAATCAGTTAATCAAGACAATAAATTACCAATTATTGTAATACGCCAGTATATATGTTTCTTATACATTTCAATTGTTTTTTTAGACATTGCTCCAAAACAAATAAATCTACTTTGTTTTGGATAGTATATTTATTATTTTCTTAATCTTTTGTTGTATTTTTCTATTCTAATTGTTTGCTACTAATTCGATTTCTTATTACTTCTTGTACTATATATACATATGTTTGTTTATGAAATATGTTTATAAATGTTGTATTTAAAAGTACAAAAATGGTAGCAATTAAAGTTTTATTATATTTATGTGAATTTGATTGTTGAGTCTATTATGATAAGTACAATGTTGAAAATTATTCTATTTTCTTATTAATTTTATAATAAAAATATATTACTACATATATTGTTTTGTTGTAAGTTAAATCCTTCAAATACCTTATCCTAAATGAACTTTAGAAATTACTTATTATGTCAAACTTAATATCTAAATATAAAATAAAAACTGTCGGTTTAACAATCAAATATACAGTATTTACCTACATAGTAATAATTAAAAGAAAATTTAAACAAATTTAAAAAGTAAACGCTGGCAGCATTTCCTCGCTGTATTGCGATACTTATTCGTTGAGCGAGGAAAGTACTATCTAGTACCGGTGAGACCCCAGAGCCTGGTAGATAGGCGCCAACTTAACAACGCCTGTGCACTTGAACCCCACTGCCCAAGAGTCTCTCAGAAAAGGGAACCAAATCGAAGTTGGAGGAAAGACTTTTATTTCAGCCATTTATTATTTTCCGCCTGGTCTGCGGTCGGCCCAGCGTTTTTGCTTGTCTGGTGAGACGGGGCAAGCGTGTCCACACAAGTAGTATCCCATAACAAAGCCCGTCCCATCTTCCAAGGGATCAACGTCATTCCATCCGGCCGCTTGCCATCGTCTCTAGCGATGCATGTTGGCTCCAAAATGGCTCGAACATTGAACAAGAGAGCGGCGTGGCGAGAAAAACGACCTGCACTATTTTGGCAGTGGAGGCCATGGTGTCCAAGGACTTATGGGGAGAACATATGAGTACTCCTAAGCGTAAGCTGATGGCAATGCGAAGATTCAGGGTCCAAAAAGGTGCCAGTGTTTGGCCACGCCCCCAACCCTTGCCCAGTCTGTTATTGAAGTGTGACCTAATAAGTTTTGAAATTTAGATTTGCAAAGAGGATCAGTATTATTATTATTTTCTTATGTAACCAAGTCCACATTTCAAGGATCGTCATGCTCGCTTAAAAGTCATTGCTTGTGGCGGGTCCATGCGCGGGTTGTCTCTCTCCTAAAATATGGCGAGGGGGCCGATCGGCCATGTCATACTCGTGAACGGGTCTACTTGTGGTGACTGGTCGTACTTGAATTCGTGTATGCGGTGATGTTAATTATTTCGACTATGCGTTTGCGTGTTGTTCCCACGAGAATGTAAGTGCGTGCTCCTATTTCACCATGCCTCCTGCTGATAGGGGACAAGTCTTTGTTTTTATTTATGTTATTATTATTAATTACTTAAAATGTCATGTGGAACATAGTGTAATGGTTGCAGCTCCTTACAAACGTTGAATAAAAAAAAAAAAAAAAAATGGCGATTAAAAAGAGTGGCGGAGAGTTTATTGCCAGTTCTTCTCTTCCGTCTACGCCCTTGATTTGAGAACTGCATAAATGTAAAATTAGAAGCATTAATATTTATTTCTTTAATGACGAATCACAAGTGTACATTGTGTTACCTACGTGAATAAATGATTTTTGAATTTGAATTTTTTGAATTTGAATAAATGATTTTTGATTTTTGAATTTTGAATTTTGATCAGCCCAGCTCCTTTGAAAGTTAGTTAACTATTAATCAGTGCCTCTGGGTACATATTAAAAAATAAAACGAAAATACTATTTAAAGTTTATTTGTTCTTACATGTCGTACAAAATATCTATTATATACATATAGGTTTCATACATTCTCCTAATCTGGTGGCCAAGTAAGTTCCCTTTACTTTTATAGTTTTAACTAGTATTTTAATACTTCAATTTGATCATTAACATTTCTTACAGGGCCAAGGATTTCCGAAAATTTGGTATTTTACTTTATTTCCGAATAGGTCTAGAGGAAAATGGTTTATACAAAAATGTATTGATACTATTCGACTTTCAGTTTTATAATACCAAAGTATAAGCTAAAGTGTCCAATAACTTTTGATAACATTAAAATATTTTGTAACATCACCTTACGTGCGATCCTGCGCATGTCTTTTTTGTTAGAAAATAGTTAACGTGTAATGTTGAAACTTTATATATTCAAAAGCAAATTTCCGTCTTTGTTAAAAATGTTTCATCGAATTTCAAGAATAATTTTCTAAAGAATTTCAATTGCATTGTCAAAGTTTCTACACATTTTTATACTACAAGATATATGTCTTAAGCTGTATCGTGAGTATTAATCGCTATTGTAAAAAAAGTCTGTGTCGTTTGTATGAAAACAGCAAAACTAAGAATTTTTATACAGATATGTGACCCAGAATTTTGTATGGTAGCGTTGAAAATTTTGTCAAACTCATACTACCAGGTAAAAAGTAAAAAAACCAAATTATTATTTAAAATGTTTGATTTTGGTTGGTAAGTCGAAAGATTTTTTTTTATTCTTTAAAAGGTTCTCACGTAACATTCACTTGTTTTTCTTCGGTTTTTTGCAAATCCTCTGAAAGTGCATAAATTCAAGTAGTCTAGACAAATAAAAAATAAAGATAAACATGTGTCATCAAACATAGTCTATAATAATAAACTTCTTTAAGCCTATTTTGACAGTTGGAAGAATGTGCGCTAAAATTTGTCTCAGATACTTGCTGTATTTGAATACAAAACCCAATTGTTACCAATGTTTCAAATTAAACTAAATTTATTAGACTAATTGTTTTTTAACAAATTGTACTTTAATATTACTTTACTATAAAGCGCCATTTACATCGATACTCTTTATAACCTTTATACCATGGTTAGAGGACGTCAGCATACATTATTGGCTAAATTATAACTAATTCTCATATATTTTAATAAGGAATTAATTGCTTGAACTTAAGGTGTATTTCACGTAATGTCTCGCTGTGTCAGTTGTACCACCAGAATGGGAATCATTCACTGTAACATATATCCCAATACGCACTTCACTTATCACTTATACACTTATCACATATCACTTTTCTAATAAGGGCGTTTGCACATTAAACTTTTGCACTTGGTCTAGAATGTTTTGACCCGTGGGTTCGTTAGGCCTTATCATCCTGATTTTGTTTTCAGTATACATGTCTATTACGCCTGATTGGCGCAACACGCGCAAACAGTTGCGTATTGCGTCTGTCGATACCGCTTCACCTGAAAAGGTACAATATTTAATATTGTCTTTGGTTTACGTAACATATTTATATACAATTTAACGGATATAAACGCGAACAATTTACAAAGATGTGGTCAACTGTCATAATTTTACTTATTGCTTAAAATATTAAACTTAAATGTACCCCATTATAGAAGTCGTCAGACTGAGCTATTTCATATCCCCTATTTTGGTACAAACTATCCTTAAAATTAAATATATTATTGTATATCTATATAATAAGGACTACGCAAGCCTTTTATTCCATATTATGTACAAACGGGTATTTTCGAAGGAAATTAGCTAATCGAATGGATTTTTAAGATCACCTAAAAACGCATACACACCTCAACAAGAAAATTCTTATATTTTAAGTACATTGTTAGTACATAATATTTACATTTTAAATTTAAAAATTGTAAATATTATCATTAAAGCTGTGGATTATCAATGAACTGTTAAATTGAAACTCAAGATAAGCTTAAAAAATAGCACCATCGCGGCGATAGATGGCGTTATTGGCAACTAGACTCATAATAATATCAAATTGTTTGTTCTAAAAAGTTTTGTATAAATACACGTTTATAGTTCTAACTCCTCAGTGGAATGAATGATGAACCATAAGTTTTTATAAGTGTATAAGTTATACTAAACTGTTAAGTGTTACTTAACCAATTTTTACTTAGTTTATTACTTTCTTTGATATACATATATTTATATAGTTGAATAAAATCATTTTATTGTTACCATTCCAGTTAATGTTATTAGTACTTAACTATTTGTAAAGATTTATTTAATGGCGTAAAAGAACATTGTATATAGTAAGTAAGTTAATAATAAGCTGTAAATCTTTCTCAATAAATAAAATAAAAAAATAAAATAAAAAATAATTTCGGTGAAATTCTAGTATCAGAATAAAAAATTCAGTTGTATTCAACTTATCTCAGCTTATGGATTTTCGATCTCTTTAAACAAATGAATGACAAATTTCTATTATTACTCACCATATATCATTCTATTCTGTGTAAAATCTTCCGTGAGTTTGTCTAACGCCGCTGTAACAACTTCCTTTTGAGACGCGTTTTTCAAACATTTTCCTGTCGCCGAATAGGCCTCCAGCAGCGGCCTGAGTGTACGTAACAAACGCCGTCTGAAAATAGACCAATTACTAACAGAAATTCTATCGGATAAAAACCGGTTTACTATTTTAAATTATCATAGTATCCTGACGTTTCGCATGCTTCTCAGTATGTATTATCATTAACTGAATGAGTTGACCAGAAAGGTAATTTTTTTATATTACAATTTTTTATCTGATGTTTGATTATTTAATTTAAGTAATTGAAAAATTTACGGTTACTTTGTACTTATAATAAACAGAATACAAAAGTAAATAATTCCAAGGAGTGTCTGATAAAGAGAGAATAAATTTGGCTCGCCTTATATTTCCATTCATATCCAAGAAGAGAGAGGGAAGAAAAAATGTTTTTATAATTCAAACTTGGACTTAATAGCCCTAAAATACTAAAGCAATTATTACCTTTCCGTGAGAGCCTCTGGTTTGTTTGAGATCCTGTACTTAATATTCCTTGTGGGGTCGGGTCGCTCCTCATCATCCATATCTTCGTCTAATGTCTTTGCAAACCGCTGGGACCACCTCTGCTCATCCAGTACATTGTCATTCTGAGAACAATTTGTTTCATATTATAAGTACTGTTTCGTAATTAAATTTTAGACTTTTTCGTTACGTAACATTGCTTTTAATATTTTTTTTTCAAATACAGTACCTGTATAGTACACAAAACATCACTTTGCACCAATGAAGCCAAAGCGTCCTGTATTCCCTCCTCCGTGCGATGACAAGGGGCGTTCAGTATGAATTCGTGTCCCATAATCCCGCAAAGTTCCAACGAACGCGTCATTAGCTCGTTGTGTCGTACGTACGCTGCGTCCGCGTCCGGTTCGGCGAGTATACTTTCAAGTGCGGTAACTATAATAGAAATTAATATAGGAATATTAAAAAGAAGTAATTACTGGTTGGGATATAAGAAGAAAATTATAAAAGTAAATTTAGTGCTACAATCAAATGTGTATGACAAACATTCCAGCCCATTATGGTCCCCATTAGACAGGGAATTCGGAAGTTATCTGAGTATATATTATAGTAAGTGAGTTATAGTGCCTATCTCATACCAAATCCGCTGTTTTGCTTAAACAAAATCTAGAATTAGAAGTGAAATATTGTATTATTTAATTTTTTTGTAAAATTTATATCAACCATAATTGTCATATATTTTATAAAACATAGCTTGTAACATATACTCTAGATATAGCATTATATGCAACGTGTTTTAAACCTAATCACATTAATTTTCCTATTTAAAGGTTATCAGTGCCAATATGCATATTGGAGTAAAAGTACAAGGAAAACGTTAATAATAATAAAGAAATCCATTTATCCATACAAACAAATTAAGTTAAAATGAGTCAATAAATTTAACACCCTTGCACCAATGAATGAATTTATTCATTATCATTCGGTAGGATGAAAGTATACCTACAACCGGGACGTAAATATTATCGCTAACTTCACTTGTGTCGAAATCGTATGATGCGGTGAATTTTAATTAATTAATAAATAAAGTTACTGTGTATAATTTCTGCTATGTAGCACAGCAGTATTTTAGTAGCAACGTATTTTATATACGTTCAGTACTTCTTTAGACTGTCAAATAAATAGTTTAGAAGGAAGAAACAATGTGCCCCATACGATACTTTAACTTTTTCGAAACTTACCAACTATAGCGGGTGCTGCATAATGTGCCACAACGGAATTAGCGTAGTAGGACAACTCAAGCGCAGCTGCCACAGAACATTGTGCTCGCACACGGTTTTCATCGCGGGATACCACACCGCGCCCCAACATGTCCATCTGTATCAGAAATGTTTAAAGTATTGCTAGAATAATAAAAAATAAGATAGAAATTATGTCTGTATATTAAACCAAGATTTCTTTTACTAGCCAAAAGCCGACCCCGTTTTATGGGTGAACTCGATAATCTTTAGGATTTTCTTGCACAACATTCGTCAGTAAACGTTAACCACAAATTGAAAATAAAAAGACTAAAGGCCTGTTATTCACTTTGATAAGTGATTAGTGATTAGTAGAAAACAAGTGTGGACGGCGACTGATTAGTGCAGGTGATTAGAAGCGTGTTCTATTATTTTGCGAGTGAACTGCGAGTAGTGACGTCCCCTCCCTTCCCCCAGTCCGTTCAGTGTTACTAGATCAGAGGATTTCCTCCTAGATTTAGGGGTTTCTCAACCGAGTTAGGGGCAGAATAGGGGGAAAGAATATTTGGGTTTTTTTAGGGGAAATTTTAAAAACACGCCAAATACAGTTTTTGTTATTGTATATCACGTTCCTGATTTTGGAACTATATTGAAAAACGGAAAAACACATCGTAAGAATAGGATCCGTGTGGTTAACCTTATTAATTGTATATTCGTTTGAGCTGCCAAACTATATGACAACTGAATTTACTTAACATAGATACTAAACAATAATTGGACACTACTTGCACTCCACACCTGCACGAATCAATGTCAATTACTAATCACTTGCACTCGCACTAATCAAAGTGAATGCAGGCCTTTAAAGAAGTGGCGTTTATTAATCTTAACTTTATTAAAAAAATATTAAATAGGATCAAAAGTTAGTAGGTAAATTTAATAGAAATTAAGAAGAAAGCTTACAGCATGTTTCAATACAGTCCTCGAGTCTCCCGCGTATCCCAGATCACGTCCTTCCATCACGAGGGTACGCGATCTTGCCTCAAAACTATCGAGAAGTTGTTTCAATGTGCAGCCGGCCCTTTGTTCTGTCAGGAGGACGTACGCGACTACGTTCGTGCACATTAATGGCGTTGATACGGCTGCATCTATAAATTCAAATAATTAGTGCTCCTTATTCCAATACAATTTAAAAAAATATGAATTTAGAACTTAATTATGGAACGCCTTAAAACGATCGCTTGCAAACGTTGTTTTGCCATGTATATTATTTCTAGGAAACATTTTTTTAGTTCAATAAAAATAACTATCTACTATAATAAACAATAGGGGTTGATCGTAGAGGGGTGAAAATCATGAGTTGTATGTATTTTTGTACGCTGTGTCATAAAAGATATAAAAAAATATAAAAAAAAAAGAATAGGGGGTAGAAAAATAGATGCTGATCCGATTCGCAGAACTAACCGATATGCACACAAAATTTCACGAAATTCGGTTGAGTCATTTCGGAGAGTTTAATTACAAACACCGTGACAAATTTTTGTAATTAAGCAGGAATTAAGAATTTTATATATTAGAAACATCTATACAATACTATAACAATTGATAGATTTAAGAAGGAATTGCTGCATGGGTTTAGGTTTTTTTATTTCTTATGTAATCACTAAGACTTTTAATGTGTTTTCATTATTTTATTTCTGTATGATTTGTGGTTTTAATAAGAAAATAAAGTAATCAAGTAATTTAGTTAATTTCTGTATGAAACGGGCTATAAATAATGTTAAATTAACAAATATTACACACATTTATATACAAAACCTATTATTAACATAGGTTTATTTTAAAAAATTATCCGTATTCGTATATTAAGTCACAATCTCGTCTAGCAATATTGAACATCAAACTTCATACAGAAAAAATATTTTTATCCGCTTTTGAATCTAGGATGAGCAAACTACTCCTGAAAAATGTAGTGCTAGACAAATATGTGAATCGTATTTAGAAGACATTTAGCACTAAGACATACCATACACCAGATGCCTGCCAATAGCCTCTACCATCATCTTATGATCCGCACTGACATTGGCTCCATAGAAACTGCTGTGACTGTTAAGGATATGTCTGTCTATGTCCATCGTCAAATTGTTATTTGTTGGAGTAAGCGGCCTATCTGTTGCTGCTTTTAGGTGATTGTACTTTTGGAAGGACGTTACTAGCTCCTGAAATTCAGTTTATAAGGAATGAGAATTTTATATTTTAGGAGTAAATTTTGGGTTCTAGATTTTTTAGAAAGGATTATTTACCACGACATATATATAAAAAATCTACTGATTGACTATTTAAGATAAACATTTCTATCACATATTATACATAACTTTAGCGGTTTTAGCAGCGCACGCCAGAATAGCTCGCAGATGGTAGATTTTTTCCTACTCACTTGATATTTTGGACAATTCACACAATATCTTTATAAATTGTACCCTGTTTACCTTTACTGTTTACCCCTATGTGTTATTCTGATGTATATCTATATTACTGTAAAGTCATTACAATGAATTCAGTAGTTTTTACGTAAAGGAATAACAAACATCCATCCATACGTGCGAACTTTCACGTTTATATATTAGTAGGATAGGAAATTTATATATTTTAATTGTTAAACGTAGGTAAATACACAAATGTGATAGGGAGCATTCAAGTATTACGTAACGCAATTTTTGGAGATTATTGACCCCCCCATGAACTCGCCGTAACGTTTTTCAGTACCCAAGTACAGTACTGTACCCAAGTCTAGTAAAACGTTTCTTGACCACCTAGTGACTCTTTAGTTACTATTATGTGGTGTAAGTAGAAAATAATATTAACAATAACGCGTAATTCAATCCCCGCCCCGCATCGTAAAGTTTTATAAAAGGAAAAAAAAATTCTTTACGTAATAATTGAACGCTCCCATACCCCAATGTCCTAATCAGTGTCATTTGAATGCAAACATTATTATTAAAAGTTTCTTACCTTCAACGATATAGGCTGATTGAAATCCACCCTTATACCCCCATGATTAGTGTTCAAAGTCCTCCAAATTCCACGCAATGCCGACCAAAATGTCTCCATCTGTTTGGGCATACCCAGTTGCTCCCTCACAAAATTTCCATCCACCAATTTGTCATAATTCAAAGTAACCGGTACCAATAATGCATCGTCAATGGTACCTTCGAGGTAGGCCTCCAGGATAACTGATAGGATACCCGCTGAAATTTCGATAAGCTTATATTTCTTAAACCTTGTTTAAATTAGTAATTAGTAGACGTTAATAATTAAATAATAATATTTGGGAACTGGATCAATTAAAATTATTAATTGAAGATAAAAAAATATTGTTGTTTATTGTTTTTTTTTAAAGTCGACGGCGTGTGTCAGGCAGTGGAGGCTGATCACCTACTTGCCTATTAAATTTAAAAAATGATCATGAAACAGATTCAGAAATCTGAGGCCAAGACCTAAAGAGGTTGTAGCGCCACTGATTTTTTTATTGTTGATTTAGTAAATTCTTATCTCACCACATCCATTTCCTAAAGTAAGCCGGAAAATAAATAAGAATAGGAGTTAATATAATAAATAATCCGACGAGATAAGATAATAACACAAATAAAATATATATATATTCAAGGAAGTTAAAGAACACGTGTAGTTAAATTTAAATCCTTTATAAATAAATTTCCAACCTATGGATTCTGAGATAACAACATAATTCTCAGTTACACTCTCAAATACATGCGCATACACACCCATTCACACACTCACACATTCACTCATACTTAACGTCTTATAAGACATAGTTGTAACTTGTAACACTAAAATGACTTTAAAAAAAACCTTTTTATACATGTACCACGGAATTATTGTTATTTAGTTACCCACAGCACAGGGACTCTCTAGTGTGGAAACTAGCGATATATGAATTTTGTCATAACCCTGTCATAAAGTAAATTTATTATTATTATTATTAAATACCTAGTTTCGCAGTCCAACCCAATAAATCAAAATATTGGTTTGTTTGTAAGGACATTACGAGATCGGTGCCTTGAATCCGCTGTTCGTTATAATTTAAGCTAAAGTGTTATTTGTTGTTAAACGGAATCAATCTAAATTAAAAATTGTACGATAATAATTCGTGTCTTTTGTGCTCGCACTTTTAGCCACATGACGCCCACAAAACCCGCGATTGATATCGATGGAGTGACGATATTTCTCCGACATATATTAGGATTACATAACATTTTTAATCGAACATTTTTCGTTGGTAGGTTTATATTTTTTAGTTACATAAAACATTTTGTTACGGTCATAGGAAGATATTACAGTTTAATGAGCGTAATTAAAAAAAAACATTTTACCTTTAGGTGCCTGCGGTTTTCCTGTCCTTGTCCGACCTCCCTCTATAAAGAACTCGAGGTTATTGTTTGCTGCTAAGCTATTTAGTATATAAGCCCTGTAAAAAATACATACAAATAAAATATATTAGTTATTGTTTTTTCTTATAGTAATTTAAAAATGGTTTTATCAAATATATTTCATTAATATTTAATGGGTAATAAATTTATAATATTTTATATTACGAACTAATTTAATCACATTAAATATTACTTAAGTTTTTCTCTTTCCCATTCTTTGTTGTAACTTGATTTTAGTAGGGAATATGAATCTATTCCTAGTCTAGCCATAAATACTTTTCTATGTCTATATTAAATTATTATTTCGCCTGGCAATAAATACTTTTTTTTTAAATTATGTGAACAGGGTAGGCACCATTTTTTTACACATTTTAAATTATTTTAAGTACCTAATACATTTATTGGTCCATTCACCTTAAACACTTATGTAACGGACTTACATTAGCTTTCTAGAGAACAATAGATTATTTGCTTAAGCCATTAAAATATAAAAACAATGCCCTATACCCCATACCCCAACGATAACATACGTATAAGGCTAAAAGGATAACTGTTTTGTTTTGTGTTGTGTGTTTAAACAATTCAGTGAAGTTACCTAAGTGCTGATTTATAGATAGAATCTTCGTGATATTCTGAGCCGTCAACTCGCCGACGTATATAAAACGCGCCACAACCGCGCAGGAACCACCTGAAACAGTTTTTTTAATTAAAAGACATGATAAAAAATCTTTCAAAATTTAGAAATGACATCAATTTTTTCCCATAGAAGTTTTAGAATCATTTATTTCTAAACAAGTAAAACACTTTTCTTTATAAAATCGCTACAAAATTATGATATCAATTTAGTCTATAATCTTATATCATGTCATGTCCATGATGATGATATTTCATATAAATAAATTAGTTCACAAAAAAGTGTATGTACATAAGTACACACGTTAGAAGTTATAATTCTTTGGCGTAATAATTTTCTTCGAGCACTTTAGAGGGACGTTTCCCTCTTCGAATTGCATTTTAATGGTCACTTCCAATGGAAACGATATAATATGTGCTAATAATGATATTATACAATAAACACTATGTTTTTATCACATTGGAACGGGTTTTCTCGTATAGAAATCATTATTTTGGTTTAAATAAACACGACTCTGACAATGCAACTTGTCAATAAAATAGCAAGCGCCAACTAGCGGCCCAGACTGTTTTACCGACGTTTGAACAGATATTCAGGATGTCGGTTTTGCGCATCGTAAAAATTTACTCTCATAATTTTTCCCTAACGCGCCAAAAGAAGTATAACTTCAAAATAGCTACCACAAAAATTAATACCTTTAAATATAATTCTATTCTATAAGTTTTATACTAACCCAAAGAACGGTATCCTCATATTATCACCAGCAGCCACCAGCGGCGGCCTCAGGCCCGTCAGGTACAGCGTGAATGTGACTAGAATGTAATCAAAGTGGGACCTATGTAGGGGTACGAAGACAAGCGGTAGACCCGCAGCGTTTGCGCGGCGTAAACGCTCAACGCACGCTGCTCGAGTGCCGCAACCGCCGCCGGCGACCCGACGCACTGCTTTGTGGCATAACCACGCCACTAATCTAAAAAATATACACGTGTATTAAAATTTACTTGTGTTGCATCATCAGATTTTTACATGCGCGTGCGCTTGATAAACTCCTATGTTTAAACTAAACTTTGATTCGACTGATTATGATGGTGACCTAAGCGATGGGACATTTCGTTTCATTATGATTGGTCAACTTTCTATTTTTAATACCATGTAAAACAAAACACGGCGCTATCGTTAAACAAAGTTTTATAACTAGACCATAGGTCGTAAACGTATAAAGTCTCAAATAGAATGGATATTTTAATTAAATAATAATAATAAGTTTTACAAAATCTCTTGAAACTGGTTAATGATATTCCAATTTAAACTGAACTACATATAAACGTTCTTATCGATATCACGCTATGACAGTCGTGATTTGCAATCGTATTATACAAGGGCAAGGTTTTATCACACGAATTTGTGTCTTAATCATTTACATATGCTTATCATAATGAGTACCATAATTGCGTTTCTGACCCGGTAACTGTAGTTCTAGGATATATATAATTATTATTTATTAAAACCTACACTGCATACATAGATAAATTGTACTTCTACTATATAGGTATACATGTACAGGTTTTAATAAATAATAATAATAAAATTATTTCCAAGAAATATATTTAATAGTTACTGAGTTTTTATTCTAATTATAATTTCTTGTTGTATTATTATAATTTAATAATTATACAAAAAGAAATTATATTTAATTAATTACAATTTTATTAAACATTGACCGTACAATAATAGGATTTTACAAGACCACTCGCCGTCTCTATACACAATCCTTGAACGACAAACTCCACTTCGAGGAAATACATATATCATTAAAAGTAAACATGGTGTTTGCTAGACATTCAAGAGCCTACAAATACTAGAAAATATCACTAAAGCGTTGTAAAGCACATAAAGAAATATTCTATGAGCAAACTTTTTGCATATCAAAATATTAACAAGTCAAACATGTGACAATACTTTATTATTTGCAAATACTTGCTTTTTGTTTATCTATATTCTCGAATACTTTATATCTTATCAAGAACATACACATAAAGAATATTTGATAATACATGTATAAAGATGACTATGGGGTATGAATATGGGTAGACAAGAGGGTAAACTAACAACGGTAAGTAAATGTTTCACGATTATGCATAGCTAAAAAATCTTTCACAGCCTTAGGCTTACTTTAATCAATCATTTACTAATTGGGCATTAAATAAATGAAACTGTTTTGTTTTTTTTTATATATAAAATTACTAGTGGGCAGGAATGCCTACTCGCAATATAGCAGACGCAATAAAAAACGTTTAATATATTTCCGCTGCTCGCATTCGCAGTGACTCTATATCACTATTAATTATAGACGTACAACAAACTATGATCCATTTAATATATTAGAATATGTTTCTTACTTAAGCACATTAGTGGACATGGCGGAGCTGATATCAAGAAGAACTTTCATAGCTTTCGCCTCCACTCGCTTTCTAACCGCCGCATAACTGGATTCCTTTTTAGTTTCTTCTTTTTTCTTCCCTGGATTCAACTCCTCCTTTATCGTCTCTTCTATTGCGTTTTGGAAACGCTCGTCTTTCACCACCTGAAATTTATCAATTGATTATTGTCTCTCTATTTAATTAGTGTTTTTTTTTATAGGATAGACGATCATACAGGACGCCCAAAAAAGGCAGACGTCGTTAGGCCGGCATTAGGGAGAGGAGTTTTCTCTTTTTTTAACAATTGGAGGTCGTATCTCCCTTGGAAGACCCCCCACCGGGAGTCGATTCCACAGTTCGCTCGTTGATGCGGAACAAATTTTGAGTTAATACGGCTCGTACGGCGATGAAGCGAGGCAGGAATCAACCCAAATAACTCTTCAGAACATTTTGTAGACTACGCATTATATATGAATAACAAGATATTAAGTAAATCTTTAATGCAATATTATACAAACATTTAATATCAGTACTGGTTTGACTGAGCCCCGTATTCCAGAACGCATGTTACTAGATTTTCTTCATAAACTTTGACAAGTTTTCCAGTGCTCAAGACTAGATAAATAATAATAGGTCTGTCACGTTCGGTAATCACGTTGGAGTCACCATTGTGGAGGAAGGATAGTGTCCAGTCTAACCGGCTGGACGACCCGAAAGCCCCAGTGGTGAGATCGATATATCCTTAGCGGCCGGAAAATCTTCTTAAGTGCAGATTCTAGATGTCACTACAGGTCTTTCTCTTTGAAAAAATTTTCTAGTATTTCCATTTTTAATCTTATTGCGCAATATGCCTTCGACACCTTTTCCTTACATAAATAACAATAATATAACTTTCAAGATGTTATTTAATATTAAAATAAACTAAAGAAAAATATGAAGTAATGTTTTACCTTAGGGACGATATCGCCGTAGTCAAAATTCGTCAGTTGAAAGCACTGTGCCAGGTCGCAGAGGTACCGCGAAACCACTCCACCATTAGCAAAGGTCTGTCTGCCAATATCCAGAATGTTGATGACTGCACTGGATTCCGCTACCTTTGTATCCTGCCATGACTCCTGGAATTTAAATATTTTTATAAGTAGGTACAAGAAAACAGTTGCTTAAATAAACTTACTTATTTATTTCGTAATCCTACAGCTAACAAAAAGTATACATAATAACAATCAATTACACTAAAAATATAGCAAAAAAGGTTTTTACGGGAAAACGGGAAAAAATATACAAATTACACTAAAACTCATACGTTATAGCAAATAAAAATGTATATTTTTGTGTTTTTAAACATACTTTTCAAAAAAAGGTATAATAAGGTTAAACTTGTTTCTAAATAAAGTCAACTAAAAGCTTCAATCATATTAATTAAATTAAATTCAGACGAATTTCATTATTTATTTAAATGCGTTTCAATAAAATATATCCAGTTATTACAAAGAAAACGACTCTAGAATACAATAAAATAGGATAATAAGCTGATAATGATTCAGAATACATATATATTTATTAAAAAATATAGGTAATAAAAAGCAATGAAGTATGTAATTTGATGAACTAATTAGTGATAATAAAGGTTATGAGTTGAGCATTCTATATTGTCAACCCGACATACATACATTGTATTTCAATTTGTGTATTATTTGTCAATAGGTCGACGCACTGTCAGTTAAGGGTTGACCAACTCTAAGAAAATAATAATAAATATTGGCAGGAATAAAAAATAAAATAACGAAAACAAGCCAGGACATAGTTTCAAATTAATAATTCAATAAAGATAATTTATCAGTGACGAGACAATTTCCTCAGATAACAAGAGGATTTCACGTTTGTGACTAAAACATAATTTTGTTTATTTTAAATTTTGTTAACTTAATTTTCTTCTTCGCCAACCCTAGCAGCAGTTTCACTGGTTGGCGCGCGGCAATCACGCCACATTTAAATTTGGAATACGTTGACAATACACGCGTATACATGGTAGTTATCCATCTCGCTCATAATACTAACAAACGACGAGGACATCAAATTAAATTTAGATTGGCCGCTCTAAATTTAATACCATTGATGTTATTATTCATCAGTCCACGTGGTCTTCCTTTCAAAACATAATATTTTGAATAAAGCAGTATAATTTGTTGCCAGATTTACGTCATTAAAATCTAATGTTTACTTGAGTCAAGTCATCATCTTTTTTTGGAATGCCTCACTATTTGTAAACAATTTATTATTTACAATAGTAAAAACTTTAATAAAGAAATACGAATTGCAGAATAAAATTAATCAATAATCAATACATAATTGATTACATACACAACATTCTTCACATTCCCCATTAGATTAAGAAAATTAATTTTAATGCTTATTTTCCGTAAGTGTGAAATCAACACACCTATTTAATTTGAGTAGAGGTTACGTGTACTTTTTCCTTTAAATAATTTTCTGTACATTTACTCTTTCAATTTTAGTACAACTTAAGCTATGTTTATATTTTTATCAATCAAGCGGCCTTTTAGTGCCCTTGAGTCATTGACCTACTCGTGAACGGGTACAAAAAGTCGACTACTGAGTATTAATGCGCATTGCTCATTTTATTCGTAATTTGAAATGATATTTAATCTTTATAATGTTTATAATCTTTATCGCATCCAAGGGCGGATCTAGAATTGTCATTTTAATCTACAGGGATTTTTATTTCCTGTTTGTGTATCTGTGAATACGTACGTACGTGAAAATCAATTAAATTAATTTTGTATTAAAACAAAATTCCTAATTAAGGAAAACTGCGTAACTCAGGGTTTTTTAAAGTAGGTGTAAATTCGTGTATTAAATGTCGAGTTCCGTCAGCTTGACCTCTTAATAAGTACGTAAAGAAGGTCTTTACTTTGTATGTAGAATGGATGGGGACCTTGTGAAGTTTATAGTTCGATAGATCTTTCCTCTACTCATGACTAAGTAGCCTCAATTTCGTCCTCGTCGCGAGATTCTGCTTGACTACTAATTGCTTTTGAATTGTCTACTGACAATCCACGGTCGGAGGATCCTTTAACATTGTAGATGTCGCTAGAAGGGACAGGGCAAAGTATAAATTCCTTCAAAATAACGAAAATTATATCGCATTTATAGAAAGAATGTTACTGACTCAAAATCACCAAGGTGCAGAATAAGCTCTGCTAGAAATTTACTGCATTATTGACATTATTGAGAAAAGAAAATAAATAAAATACTGCAATTGACCTGCTTCGTGTGTTATTATGACTATAATTCTACGATTCCTGGTAAGAGTGTAATGGAAAAAATGCACAAATTACAGAAGCTAGAATATTTTTTTGCTGACTCAATGGAAAAAGTTTCAGAAGTTTTATAACCGTGAATATATCTTTATTTGACAATAAAACCGAAAATATCTTATACCTTGAGAACTTATTATATTCGTCATCGCTAAGATCCGGAAAGAATGCAATTGAACCGCTGAAAATTAGTAGAAGAGTTGTACATTTTCTTAAGATACACTTCAAAAAAACTTTCTTCTCCCACGATGATTAGCTATTCGCTATAATACTATAATGGGCGTATATTCGCAACTGAAATAAACTATGAGGGTCGATGAACGAAATACCTCCGTAGGCGGCTATCTGACTCTAACGGGAATCGAATCGCCGACACGATTTAAGACGTGATGCTATGTTATTAGCACTCATATAAATTTTAAAATAATCGCGTAATTAAGCCACGACTATCAAACAAAAAGGGGTATAATCATATAATAATCATGTTTTTTTCTATTTTGGAAAGTTTATAAGTTATCTTTACTAACATTAATATTTTATAGTTTTTTTTGTATTATAAATTAGGTCTCACACTCTTTCACTTCTTCACAATTTTTTTAAAACTACATATTTATCTTTAATTAGGGTTACCTGTAAGAGATCGCTTAGTAGGGCCGTCTGTTGCACCATGTTTTTTTTTTAAGTTTGTTTTAAATATTATAATTAAATTCTTGTGCAATAAAGTGAAATTAAATATAAAGTTTTGATTTCGAAAACTTTATAAGGTTGAAAATTAATGCTCGTTTATAAATGTATGATTACATTTTAGTTATTTTGTATATATAACATTATTAGAGGCGTTGAAATTACACACACATAATTTTAATATTGCCGACATATAACGGTCAAATAATGACTACTTCTTTCTATAACAATATGAATAAAATATAATAATATTGTGATAGGTAGATAAAAAGAGAAAATACCTGTATTTTTTAAATTAAAGGTCACGTGATTATTTTATTATTTTCAGTAATCAAGATAATAAATAATAAAAATATTTCTTTGTCTAATAAATAAATCATAAGATATTACAACTATTAGCTTATCGTAAATCTGTGAAATTAATATTCAAATAAATGATTACAGTAAAAATCTCACCGATAATTTTTATAGGACTAAGATACTACGCGATTAGACGCTTTGGACTTATTCTCTTATTCCTAGCTATGTTAATTATAAAATTATTATTTATCAAGGCCGTTTTTGCACACGTATTCCATTATAAACGATGTTCAAATCATAAACCAATAATTATATATTTTTTACAGTTTCTAAACCAATAGTTATTGATTTGTGGCCTTGTATCGAAACTGTCAAACAATGACCCCAGAAGCACAAATAATCACACCATCAGTAAAGACAATTTATGCTAATAAATGGTCTACCCAATCACATATTAGATTGCGTAACGCCAACCAACATAAACAGCAAATTAAAAAACTACTTTTATATGCATTTGTCGCGCTCCAAAACAAGACTGTTATGGTTACATCAATTTAAACCACAGCGGTTTTCTAATGTAACTTATTATGATTGTATTATATTATTTGTAAAATAAAGAAAAAAAAAATTAATACTTGAATCACGTTCTAGTGCGTCTAAGTTCTCCAAGTTGTCCACGTTAATTCAGTCAAATTTTTTGCTTGTTTACATCTGCTATAGAATATTTGAATTCATTATAAACAGGCCTTGGTTTTATCTATCTTTGATACAAGTTATACCGAAACTAGTGTTTCGTTTTCATAATTTTGTCTATGAATTAGAAGAGAAACGTGACAAGAAAACCTATATTAAATGTAATTTATAAAAGAGTCGCAGGGCAGAGGTTTCCAATTCGATGTGTTTGTAATTTTATATTTTGAGTTTCACATGAATTGTTAACTAGTTCTAAAAAGTGTTTATACGTATTGCACATTAAATAGAGATGTATTGTACTGATTTGAGGACAATAATTTGTCAAACTCATGTAAATATGCATCAAAAAGTAAACATGTCCTAAAAGCATATATGCAAAACTAACACAGAGCTATTTTGCGCAGACGCAATCTTAGCGTTACCAATCGTTATAAGCTACGACGCAAAATGAATTATTATTAATCCACTCACGCGCTCCAACACAATACCGAAATCACAACTTAAAAAAATATGATCACCTGGCCTTAGACGTATATATACGACAAGCAAAGCAGATGAAAACACACACACACATATATATACCTAGTCTTGCCATAAATTTTGAAACAAAGAAAAAAAATTTTTTTTCTATTGCAAATAACATTTATTATTTTTATAGTGTGTTAGTTTAATACATAAATATAAAACAATTTTAAATATAACAAGCTTATTCGAAGTGTTCTCCATTGGCTGCAATACAGTTCTTTAAACGTTGAGGCCAGTTACATAGGAAAATTCTTCAGGATTGTTTTAGGGACTCTAAATTATCATGGCGTTTATAGCAACCCGTACTCTCTAAAACTGACCATAAATCATAATCGGCGGATTAAGATCGGGACTAGACGACGGCCAGTCTTCAGCTCTAATGAATTCCGAAACGTTCGTTTCCAACCCAAGACTGCGTAGACCGAGCTTTATGACTCAGGGACGAGTCTTGCTGGAAGGACCATTCTTGGTTATTGAACATTTTGTTGTTATGGGGCTTTACTTCTTTCTTAAGAATAGTATCTTGATACACTTGTGACGATGTTTAGATACCTTTTTCAAAAAAGTATGGCTCAGTCACTCCTTCGTAGCTAATACCCCACCAAACCATCACTGAAGTTGGATAGTGCCCACGTTGCACTCTGTCGACTAATTGGAAAGCTTCCTTAAAGCTTTGAGCATAAATACGGACACTTTGTTTGTTAAAATGTTGCTCAATTGTAAACATTTTCTCATCCGTAAACAAAATTTTTTCTGTGACCTCCCTTTGCGTACCACCTCATAATTGTTTCGATTTTACCACCCTATTCTTTTTTAAATTATATCACCCTATTCTTTTTTAAATTATCTATATTTTTTTTTATCAAATATTTTACTAATACCAAGCGACTACTAAATATTTTACTAAAACTATGCGTTTTAAAATTGGTTTTGGCTCCATACCTACTTTGTGTAATGCAATCACAGCGATTCGGTTCTCTTTATCACCCCACTCTATTTTAATATTGCAAAATATTGTACAATGTGTTGGCGCCAAAATGAGAAAACTCAATGAACAATCATATAAAAATGACAGATTCCAAATTCAAATGTTTATTTATGCTTAATATTATGCTTATTTTTAATTGTAACAGTATTTATGGCCAGACTAAGTATATTGAGTTTTGATAACACAACCACTACAGTTATTGAGGTGAACGCTCAACAATGATTGTTATGTGTAATACATAATAGTACATAATTATTAACGGTAAGGTTAAACACGATAAACTCTCTTTAGTGTAATACTAGGAGTTTCTTGCTATAGAAAAATTTTCATACGACCTTTTTGAAGTAATATTAATTTATTTTTTAAGGATAACGTTATAAATAGTGATACAATTTTAATAATAATTTTACATATTTATCGCTACTCAGTAACACGTGAATTGAAACCTCATCGATTTAATTCAATATTATTTCAGTGTACCTTTTAAAAACATTTTATTTTGTGGAAAAGGTAAGTAAACATACCCTTGATAACGGAGCACATCGTGCGCAGGCAAGTCCAGCTGATGGCCTCGTGGCAGGCTGTGGCGGTGGCACCACTGGTCCATTCTTAATGCGATAGAGGGAAGATGTTCTTGACTGAATAAAAACATAATAATTTATCTCGTATAATTATATCTTACGACGTCTTGTCTCGTCATTCGAAATTAATCATATACAAAGTAAACACGATTCATTTATTGTTGGCAATGACGTCAAATTCAACTCCTATGCAAAAGCTACAAACACAAAATTAACTACTTCAACAACACATAAGACTATTTTAATCTTTACACTCACATTTAAATTGTTTAATGCGAGGCCTCAACTGAATTAATTAGATATAATATTCTTCCGCAATTTAATTGAAACTTGAAACAGACACGTAGACGAAATATATTTGTATCCACTTTTTTTCGGCGATATAAGAATTTTATTTTTCGTTTCAGAATGCATTATCTTCTATACAATTTATAGTATTACGAAGAAATAGTCGTAATAACGTGATTAAGTTGATAGGGAATTTAACGCGATTAAATTGGAACGCAGTAGGCGAAACAGACGCAAATATGTGTTTGATGGGCCACTGGATTACAGCACCTCACACAAAATATTGCAATAAAAGGAAACAGCGGCGCTACAACCCTTGGATTTCTGTATCCCTTTCGTGATATTGTTTTTTTCTAATAGGCAAGTAATTGCCTGACGGCCTATGGGGACGAAAGCATGCCGGTTTCCTCATTATGTTTTCCTTTAAAGAGCGCACATAGACAGGAAGTCCATTGCTGGATAGCCGGTGATCAAACCTACAAACTTTAGGATTAGAGTCTCACGCTCACGGCTCAAGCCACTAGGCGCTGCTCTACAAATTGAATGAAAAGTAAATTATTGTCTATCGACAATTTACTTTAAGTCTCGAAACGATAAAAAATATATTATATTGTACTAAAACAAAGTCTCGAAGAATGCAAGTGGAAATCATATATCCAAAATATCATATTGTAATTTACTTCCACCGCGTGTAGAAATAATATATATGTTCGAACAATTCAAAGCTTTCATACAAGATATGCGAACTGCGCAATAATTATAATTATTATTATGAAATGGTCGTTTACATTATTAATTAAGAACTCGTGTATAGATAAGACGCTAGAGATAATGTATTTTATGCAATACGAAATTATAAAGTAAGTACGTGATAGGACTCAAACCCAGGACTCGGAGGATCTCGTGCATACAATAAAAGTGAATTCTTTAAAGAGTTCTTTAAAGTATCTGTTATGGGCGTTCCGTGCTTTAATTTACCAAAGTGATTGCATTGAATAATACAATGCGTGACCAACAGACTTTAGGCTTTAGAATTTTTTTCACGTCTCAATATAATATGGAAGCAGAGTTGACCGAATGGTTTGCGACTCCCATCTCTTAGATCTGAAGGAAAACATCATGAGGAAACCGGCATGCCTTAGGTACACCGTTAAAGTCGACGGCATGAGTCAGGCACAGAATGCTGATCACCTACTTGCCTATTAGAAAAAAGACAAACCTAAAAGGTTGTTACGCCGGTGATTGTTTTTAGAATACAGCATGGGATAGTTGACATCATTCGTCTTTGCTAGTAAACTTTCTAGCGTTTCTGAACCAAGCCTTTATGCACCAAGGACTTTTCGCCTTTCCGGAATTCTAACTGTTTTCACCTAATGCAGTCCGCGTCTTATTAAAGCTACTAACCGTCATTTCAGCATCAAGTTTAGCATATACATCGGTATGCGGCCTCTTGCGGGTGCGCATCGCGTGCCTTAGGGAGCTCGTATCGCGGCCACACCATCCTCCCACTCTTTCCCCTACCACTTCTAACATATCTGCTACACGGCTGTAACAATACAGAAACACGGTCTTAATTATCTGAAGGTGGAAAATCTATTTAAAAGACGCAGTAGAAAAGGCGTAGAGAAAAATGAACCATTTTACCCTTGCCTTACTTAAGATAATATAATTGGCAAATACATATTTAATATTTTTATTATTATTTCTATGATAGTCACACTAAGTAACATTAAGGTATTAAAAAACCAACTGACTTAAGCTAAAACCTTATTGCGTGGACTTGTTTAGTTTAACACATTGTGTTGATGATATTAGTGTAACATTACTTGGACAGATTTTGTGGTGGAGGAAAGTTCGTACATGAACTTTAGAACTTAAAACGAAATCTTGTTTTTGCTGGACACAGCTATTTTGTTGTGTCAGAGTAGTGTTGGCCAGTAAGGCTAATCTATAGCATGACATCATGGGTTCAAATCCGGGCTGTGCGCCAAAAACTTTCATTATGCACTAAAAGAACTTGAGGAAAACTATCAAAGAAACAAACGCAATACTGATTTGTGTTTAACATTTTTATGTAAAACTTTCCTTAGTATTTTTGCACTGGGCAACAATTTCTTTGATTAAATTTTTTAGTTCTTCCATGAATAATGATGATTTTACGCAGCTTATTGGCACATTGAGAAAACACGCTTCAACAATAGTAATTGTAATTCTAAAAACCGGTTTAGTTAGAGGCACTAATTAATGATCATGTTACATAAGATTAAACTTTATTGTATCACGTTAATATACATCGTTCTAATACAATCATTTTTATAAAAAAAAATTTTTTTTCAAGGTTCCAAACACTAGTACATCAAATCCTAAATTAAAATCAGTTTCACGAATTAGGGGGCGGCCATAAATTACGTGAGGTGTTTTTTTTAATTTTCTGTACCTCCCTCCCCCCCTGGTGAGATGTCGTGAGATTTTATATTAACCCCCTCCCCCATCCGCCAATCTCACGTGAGATTTTTCAAAATGTGGGTTTCTTACGTTAACGTATTGGATTGTTATTGTAAAAAGAAAAAAAAAATTGCTTCGTGCTTTTATTTACGACTAAAACAAAATAAGTGAAATGTTGAGCGTTTAGGTATGGAGTTAGCGGGAAGTTGCAGATATGACCTTTAGAGTCAACCGTTTTCCTAAGTTTTTTTTTAATCAGAAAAAAAATTGCGTGATATTTGCCGAGACCCCCCCTCTCTCCAACGTAAGATTAAATGAGATTTGACTCGACCCCGTCCCCCCCTTAAACACCTCACGTAATTTATGGACGCCCCCTTATTGTCCCATTTTAGGTCTGGGAACAAATTATAACCTATTATGGTTATTTACGTAGCAATACATTTTAAAATAGAATTAACTAGCGGCCCGTCCCGGCTTCGCACGATTGGACATTTATTTTTTTAACATTTTTTTGTAGATATTGATATGTTCTTTAACATTGGGAATTTTTTTGTTCTATCATCTATAGATTTGGGTAACATTAGGTATTGTAGTTTTACTAGGGTTCCTTATTTTTTTTCTTGAAATTAAAATAGCCTATATTAATCAGTGATAATGTAGAATTCAAATGGTGAAATAATTTTTAAAATCGGTACAGTACTTTTTGAGCCAATTCCTTACATACATACTTACAAACAAACCTTTCCTCTTTATAATATTAGTAATTAATGAACTCATAAGGGCTATTTATTTATATATATCGACCGTTTTTTACGCAGGTAACTTAGTGACAACATTTACTATAAAATATTTTTAAAAAAATCTTATATATCTATAAGTATATATGTTTTGTCAATTTTTTTTTTTGTAGTAGTAGTTAGTAGTAGCCTTCAGTCCCCGAGACGCACCATCGACTTTTTGGGTCTAAGGGATCCGACTCACGATATTTGCCTTCCTTTCGATCGTTGCATCTGCACATTGACCGAAAAAAGATCCATTGGTGCACTGCCAGGGTTCGAACTTACTTCAAGAATGAGTCGCACGCTAAAGTCAACACTGCTCTATATAAAATATAGTGTATATAAATCGACGTCAGACCAACCAATTGAATATTAAAAATCGAAATGTCAAGGACATTATTGTATAAAATTCGATATTTTTATGGAAAAATTATATATTTTCTTGGGTCAAAGTTTGTCAGATCCCGCATATAATACATGATGAGCACCATAATCTTGTTAAGTCTTTTATCACACTGTCAGGGGTGAAGCGGGTTTCAATTATATATCAATTGGTTCCTTTGTTGTGTATCCGTTTAGTTCATCTCTGCGATATGTAGCGAACACTAGCGAATTATAGACATTCTAACATTATGAAAAGGGAAGTTTTATTGTACTAAATTTTATAATAAATTAAATCCTATTGATTTGAATTGATTATCTATTATCACTTACAAACTTTTAGGAGTTTCCAAAACTTAAGTTACTTACTCAAGCGGTTATAGTTAATAATTAACATTTAATATCAAATTTTATAGGTAACTTTCTAATGAAATAATGTGACAAAAAGCCTAAGTAAAGAGCCAGCAATTTATAGTTATTGTGTGAAAATTACTGTTTTTATTAATTAAACTTTAATAGCTACGAATTTCCTTGGTTTGGTTGTAAATTCTATATAATTGTTTATTTATATTAATTTTTATTTCCTTAAGATGGCTTAAGTACAAAGAAATTAAACAATATTAAAATATATAAAGAAATCACGCACCTCGATGTAAAGAACCAATAAAGTATTGCCGTGAAAATAGCCAACTCCGCAGCACTGCTTGCAACCCGGACATTTTCCACCACAGTCCAGACATGATTTATTGAATCCATTTCAACACTGGCATTAACATTCCCCGTCCAATTGAGAACACTCATCTACCACAACACTTCACTAAAATCGCTGCTAAAATTATCGATATCTCTAATAAATCTCGAAAATTTATACGAGGCGAGGACGTGTAGCGTCTTCCGCCGACGGCGCAAGACTGCGCATTGTCAAGTGTCAACAGAAGTAAGATTGATAACAATGACTTGGACTTAGTATATGATAACCGATGAATAGTTGAAAACAAAAACGACCTACATGAAGATAAAGTAATGAGCATTGTTCACGTGAATGTAGACTTTGTTCGAAGTGATGTAATGATAAATATTCAGGGCAACCGTATACTATATTGTACATGTGACAAAGTTCAAACACTATCGCTGGTTCAATGGAATCGGAAACTCGACACAAAGGAGAATGAGAATATATAAAAGCTACATAGATAAGTATTGCAAAATAATCTATACATACTGTGGTCGTTCATTTTGACATGACGTAAATTTTCCTATAGTCGTAATGTAATTTCAACAATCATTATGCCGTTAGAATAATGACCAAAAATACATGATATGAAATCCACAACAGTCTCAATAAAAAATTAAAAACCTTGAAACGAAGACAAAACAAATGCGGATTGATAAAAACGTAGATACAAAGAATAAGTCCGAAGACGATTTACAAAATTATAAATTCAATCCTAACGGTATTCTTCCGGTGCGTTTCCGCTTCAATAATTATATGAAGTGTTTTATTGGTAATAATTTATCTTGTATACATTTTTCATGATTTTAGCAATAACATTAGTAAATAGAAGTAAGAAAACCAAAGGCTACGTTTTATTTATCATACAGCTAAATGACCTCGTGAACTTCGTATCACCTACATATATTTCTGTAAAACGTATTTTTTTTTATCTACATTATCAAATCCAAAACAGTTATACGCTCAATCAATTTAAAGCTTTCTGATATGCTATAGTTTTGTCTTTTTTTACGGCGTGTAAATATATAAAGATGATGGTTTGAAGCGAGAAGATTGTATTGGAAAATTAAATTATTTATGCTTATGTTTTTATTATAAATAATACAGGAACTTTAGAAGCTATTTTAAAATGTATGAAAGCTCGTTGATCTTATTTTTAAAATGACAATGATTTACTATTGATTGATGACATTGTTACTACTTTACTATTATTTACTGTGAGGAAAATATTATATAATGCCAAAACACTGTATGAATTAGATGAAAACAGTATTGTAATTAATTAGCAGAGTCAGTACATATATAATAGCGCGATAGCTCATTATCACGTAGTTATATAGACATATGTACATGATCAAGAGGTCAGAGGTTATAAGTTGGAAATTTTACAGTTCAATGCAGTTTTATTTATAAGATAAGTGTTACATAGCTTAATATAACATACATTGTTGGATATACAAGAAATATGACGCCATGACCTTCGGGTGAGATTTAATTTGCATGCGTGTTTAATTTATTTATCGGATAATAAGAGAGATGGAAGGTCGGAAAGACGAAAGATGAAACTTTTTATTGAGTTGCTGTGGATCAAAAACATTTAATATTTCCATATTCAAAGAAACGACTTCTCTATGTTACTTCACAATACTGTTGAAATACCGGAATCAAATAAACCATGTCCTCTATCTAAGACTGCTTCTAGAATGCTTAGAATGCTCTCTACTGGCTTAAGCGGTGACGATATCATAAAGTAAATTTGGGCTATCGCCTGCTGCAGCTGAAACCAGCAATTGCAGCAGAAACTGTAACAGGACAGGGCGAGCTGGAAGTTTCTCGTTTCAGACGCCAAGACAAATTTTGGGTCGCAGATGTAGCGAATGAGTAATTATATTGAAAAATTCCCATAAGGTCCGAAATCACAGAACCGGTCAATTTCTAACAATACTAATTTAGATTAGTCTTTATCGCTAAACGTGTATTATCGCGCGTCTAAAATATATATTTATTGTCCGCAATACTAGTAAATCTAGTACAGATTTTACAGTGAAACCTACCACTTTCTCTTAACATATAAATCTATAGTGATAATTAAATAAAGCAGTAAAACAAGTTCCGTTCTAAGCATATAATGAGATACACTTCCTTCAGAGAGTTTCAGTTCATCAGTATGTTTGTATATATTGAATAATACTAGAAATAGCCGATGTAGTTCTTACTTTACAAGAGCTCATTCACCTCATTGTAACCTGGCATTTGACTGAAAATGTGGGAATTCATACGAGATTTTTTTTACAAAACTGGAAAGGAATTGTAATGCTGCTCAATTTATTTGAATAATGTTTTGGATGGTCTATCTAATTTTAATTATATAGAATTCTCGTAGTATTATCTTTGATTAACATAACTTTTATTCATTTAATAAAACACTATTCCACGCATGCTGTAAAGCACGCGAAACGTCGGATAAATTTAAAATTATGTTAAATAGTTGTAAATTTATAATAATACATAACTTCAATCCGGTCAAAATAGTGTTTTATTAGAATTCTCGTGTCACAATGTTCGTTCCCATACACGTCCGACACGGCTCGACCGATTCTTATAAAATTTTTTATGCATATTCAGTAAGTATGAGAATCGACTACTATCTATATTTTAAACCCCTATGTGATAAGGTGTGTCCACCCTAAAAAAATATCACAGCATACAAGAATACATACAATCCTTAATTTTCATCGACCCTCTTCGATCAACCCTTATTTTTTATTTGATAGTTAACATCTTATAACTTGAACTCTGAGGTTTATATAGAGAAAAATCGCAGAAAACCCTAAAAAGTTTTCATTCCGGAAAACCGAACAGTCTCTGAGGTTGCATAGCAAAATGTTCCATGTTGGTATGTACTAAAAAGGTAGACTAGGCCAGGGAGAAACGAAGTTCGAGGGGGCAGCTAGTTTGATTATAAAGTTTAAACTTATCTACTATATTGGGAAACGAAGAATACAACAACAACAACAGAGACTTAACATCAAACAATACGTGACTTCCACATTGGTGATAAAGAAAAATACTTTGCGGCGACTAATACCATTTCTCTATATACGAAACATCAAACAAAGCGTCCTGTAATAGACAGACAAAAGTTGTTTAAGTCGATGGGAATCTACAAGGAGACAAATTGAGCTCTGATTTATTATTAAAAATTTAAAGAAAACCAGCATAGCTCAAAGGTGACTGAGTCAATAGCAAATGACAAAGCAAATTTTTGTACATATGTTAAGCTAAGTACAACAAACCATTGTTAAACTATTTTTTTATGTAATAGGAGGCAAACGGGCAGGAGGCAAACGGGCAGGAGGCACACCTAATGTTAAATGATACCGTCGCCCATGGACACTCACATTGTTAAATTAAATTTTTATGCTTCATTATCGATATTTATATATAAAAACACAATACATACAAGGTATTCTTTGAATAAAATGATGTAAGCAAAGCTTCTAAAAACCTGTAAAAACAAGTCTCTTATCAATTAACACAAAGTGAAAAAGATGACGTCATGTATTACAAAAAATTCAATTACTTTCTTAACTTTAATTGACATATAAATTAATACACATATAAATTGACAAAGGAAGCCGTAATACAGATATGATAAAGGTCTTTGGGACAGCGCAACAACAATATGCAGGTGTAAATTAAAATATATTTATTTTTAATTTTCTTTGTTCAAAAACAAAGGAACTCGAAAACAAAGTGCGCCTGCGATTAATGAGTAGATGAACAATTAATTAGTATTATTTTAAGGAAATAATATTTATACACGCAAATTTTGTTAAACGCTAATGCAAAAATGTCCATGAAAAAATACAGACATTTTTATGCATCTGATATTGTTCTTATAACAAAAACGGTACCCATAAATTTAATTTTAAGCTAATTATAGAACTGCAGTTGGCTTAGTGGGTTAAGCGTGCGTCTCTCATCCCTGAAGTCGTACGTTCGAACCCCTGCTGTACACCAATGGTCTTTCTGCGCATATAACACTCGCTCGTAAGAATGGAAACTACGATGAGTTGACATGCCTCAGCCCCAAACAGTCGACTGCGTGTATCATTCACAGAAGACTGATCACCCACTCGCCAATTAAGAAAATACATCAGAAATCTGAGACCCAGACCCTAAAAGGTTGTTATAATAATAATAATAAAAATTTTATGACTAAAGTGTTGTGACAGAATTCATATATTTATATCCCCACACTAGGGAAGCCCTGTGTTGTGGGTAACAAGTGTGTTGTAGAGCCAGTTTGCTTTTTTTCTTATAATTATAGAAAAAATTGCTTTCTGATGTTTAAGAAAATTATTCCCAATTATAGAGACTAGAGTTTCGTAACCACACGAGAACAGTCAGTTTGACTTTCAGATTGCAGTAGATAATTCAAAATACGACTATGAAATTGAAATGGATACTTCTAAGGTAAGGTTCAGAATCGAGATTCGGTGCTAAGTATCAGACGACTCCCGTATGCGAAAATCATTACGTTTTGACAAACGAATATGCTAAGTAGGACTCCCGTATAAAGTTTCGACTTTGGTCTTACCCTAAATTCCAAATGAGATTCGATATTTACACTACTATATGACGAAATAAAAAGTAATAAAATCATACTTTTAAATACTATTGCGATTTAATTCTTAGATTTGAGGTTTTGGTACAAGATAAAAATAAAAATTTAATAACATCAAATTAAATCGAGACCTTTGAGCTACAATAATAACTTTATATCTGCGCATGCGTTGTCAATGTGATCGTCTTTTGATCTACTTATCTTAAAATAGCATTGTTATTCTATTCCCAAGTATCACTTGCATTTTGTGGTTGTTTCGTAACATTGGATATTTGATAGCAATCTTGTTTGACCCTATAACATTAATCAAATCTTTTTATCTACAGCCATATTTATACAGCTTTTTTATTCTCATTTCGGTGTTACCCATTTAAATGATAAAGAAAAACGCCCACGAGAACCTTATACGTTTGGATAGTAACAGCAACCTTTTGCTTA